TTTTCCAGTCAGACCACAGTTCAGTTCAGCGGGACTAAGTGATCTTGAAGCCTGCAGATATGTTCGGGCCATGTCTGTGCTGCGACCGTTCAAAATCGGCGTTTCTTCACACAATGGTGAGGAAAATAGGCAGCAAAGCACTGAGGTGCTTAAACAGAACTGAAGATTTCAGTAGAGGTTTGCCTCCTTGAAGGCAAGGCGGCGGCCGAGAAACCAAACCGACAGACAGCTTTTAATCAAGAGCTAGTCCTGGGGTTCGTATGAACGGTGGGCAAATATAGGAAAGAGGCAGTAGTATGCAACTGACTCGGAAAGTGACCTAAACTGGCAAAATCTAAATAGTAGGGCGTCCTCATGACTGCTTCGATTCTCAACGGGTCGATAAGTAGCATTATGGTGGCTTCAATGACCGCGTCAGTGGTCATCAGCAAATATTCGTCACCTATAGGATTGCAATTCGTGTGTACCAGTTGTCATGGTGGAGCCCTGTGGCTGAATTACACGGGAACCAACCGGGTATGAAGTCATATCTAGCTTTGTAGTGTCAAAGATAAGCCTTCAGTCAGGCAGAATCATTCTTCCTTCGCTGCGTTGGTTGGACTGCTCAGACAAAGATAGTTTTATTAGTGGTGTGTCACAATCATGAAATGTTAGCCCCAAAGTGCGTTTTGGAAAATGTTCACAGTAAACTTTTCCAGTCAGACCACAGTTCAGTTCAGCGGGACTAAGTGATCTTGAAGCCTGCACATATGTTCGGGCCATGTTCGTGCTGCGACCGTTCAAAATCTTCGTTTCTTCACACAATGGTGAGGAAAATAGGCAGCAAAGCACTGAGATGCCTAAACAGAACTAAAGATTTCAGTAGACTTTTGCCTCCTTGAAGGTAAGGCGGCGGCCGAGAAACCAAACGACAGACAGCTTTTAATCAAGAGCTAGTCCTGGGGTTCGTATGAACGATGGGCGAATATAGGAAAAAGGCAGTAGTATGTAACTGACCCGGAAAGTGACCTAAACTGGCGAAATCTAAATAGTAGGGCGTCCTCATGACTGCTTCGATTCTCAACGGGTCGGGCCGCCGGCCCTCTCCATTGACGTTGAAGACAGGGTACTAAGCAATTTTCCTCCTTTGGTCTGATATCATATTCCTAAATCCCTTGTGGAAAGGGCCCCAACCAGAGGGATGACACTCTTTAGTTGCTACCACAGTAGTGCTATCGTCAAGGTACACAGCAAGTCCCAATGGTGTCAATAATTTTGCAACGCCACAAACGGATGAGAAAAAACAGACCCTTCTTCCGTCAAAAAATCTAAAATAAAACACGAAATAGCCCGAAGATACTCTGCGACGCCCGCGGCTTGCATCGACATGCAGGGCTTCAGCCACCCTTGGCATAAATATGGTCGCACCGTACCAAAGGCAACCACATCAACCAAACAAAACACAAACCTCCCAAATTCTCCTAGGAGTGGATACATACAGAAAATGAACGACTTATACGCAATGAGGTTCCTATGCCCTCCACTACATGCATAAAAGCCTAGCGCCTGAAGATCTTTTCTCCATGCAATACTCGGTGATTGAAGCTGATAGCAGTGTTTAGTTTACCGGTGACCGTTACTCTTACGTTCACCTTCCCTGTTAGATTATCGTATTGTCCAGTTCACTAAAATAACCCCAAGAATACCTGGTCAATAATCCCGGAAGTTCTACTTCCTCCAGTTCTCATGCTTGATTTCCGCTACCGCATCACGCCTTTGCGCACTTATAATGACTTTCTATCTCCGGCCATAAAACAGCTTATATTGGCAAGCTAGGAAGTCTTCGATCGCCAGGTTACTAAGAGCATATGTACCCCCATCATGTCTCTTTCAATCACTTGTTGTCACCCCCGTGGTCATCTAGCAAACTTTCAGCTTTCTCTCTATTTTCGGACTTGATCGTATCTGATGCCTCCCAAAATCCATCAAGTCTTATCGATCTTGCCCCATTCCCTCTTGCTTCCAAGCTTCGACCTTCGGCCAAGCCTCATTCGAACGTCCTGTATGGCCGTTATTCACTCCCTCTGATATCTGCTGTACACCCGAAGGGATCTCCATCCGGACACAAAAATATCTGTAATCTTGTGTTGGCTTGGTTCCGCATCTGCGGGTCCCCTAGACAAACTCCGAGAATACCCGCTTCCCACAGACTTCTCATCACAGCAAATTCACCTCAAGTATAACTTCCGTTACCGGTTGTCCGGGGGACGAAGCATGTTAGTGCAATGATGACACGAAACTGCCATACCCATTTTATTAATGTATCCGCAACTATTCACCTGCCATTTTTGGCAATGCCCTCTCACCCACTTTCCTCTTACCTGCAACTGCGAACAAACCATTCAACTGACAAACCGCCCCCGGGGCACAATGATTCTGGGTTGCTGAACCTTCCATTTGTAAATAACCGTCTCGTTCACTTTCATTTTGGGCTACCCACTAATTCAATCTTTTGCTGTGCAGTGTGCTTTCCGTCTTGTACGTTGGCGCAAACTCTCGATCACGAGGAGCCTTTACACACGACCGCGTCCCGAAAATGACAGAAGAGAGTCTCTGTAAATTAAATGTACACCATGACCTTGAGAATCCTGCTAACACTCTTCCCTATTGCTGTTTCCTTCATCATCTCCAATTACGCTTTTTAAGATTCTGACTTCATCTAGATCAAATTGATTAGGTGGAACGTGATAACTCAGCTACCGCACCAGATTCTTTGTTCCGGTTCATCATTTTTCGCAGTTTGAAGTTTTCTGGTCATGCGCCAAGCGGGATGCCTCTTTATCACCCTCTCTTGCTCTGTTTTGCTCGCCTCCTCTAATCTTACCAACCTACTCTTGTCTCGGCCTGATAGGTTCCCCCAAAAATAAGATAAACTCCTGGTTTTTGTGTTTTTTCCCATGCCGGTTTACGCATGACCAAGTCTACGTCGGGCACCGCTCACTTTTCAAGACATTGTCCTTTTATCGCGCAACCCCCAGTACCAACAACCCCCCAGTCGTGCTCTATTCCGACTGTAACATTATGATCGTGCCTGATGGTATGCCACTCACAATCGGGAATATAAATTATTATTACTAAATGAAATACGCTCTTGTCTACGCTCCGCTAACGAATCGTTGGCGCGGTTTACACTCCGCACGGTCTTCCGTCTCGAAATGGGATACGAAATTTGCCGGGCGCCCTAAAATGACTTGACTTCTCTTCATGTCTCATCTGGGGGTGGGCCTAAATAAGGTGCACTTTTTGAAAAATGCCCATCATTCACCGCTGCAAAATTGCACCCAAATATCAGCTACAGACATTGGTAAGTATCCACAGCCTTCTTCAGTCCTACTGAGTAGTGTGCACGGATCCACGTGGCGACATTCATCTTTTTGAAAACCACGAATAAAGCAGACCACGACGTGTGCCTTCAAGTTACGAGAGTCCAGGAGACTACAAAAGTTTCTTTCTAGTTTCGTTCTTTCCTCCGAAGTCCGTCAATGAAACTCAGTACATACCGCTATTCCAAATTCGTCGGATTGTCAAGCTGAGTAGATCACAGATATCTCGGCTTACCTTGACGAAAGGAACGGCGGCAAAACAGGTGCACACTGTTGGACTGCAGAGCAACCCCCAGCCAACAGTGCCCCGGCAGTTAATTGGATACTGGAGAGTCTATCCATCGGTGACCAGTGGTGTTCGAGCGTCCAGACATGCCCTGGGCACAATGCCGACCAATCAGTCAACGCTGACCGAAAAGCCCTGGTTCAAGGCCGGGCGCGCGCTTTAAGTGCAGCGACCGGCGTGGTGCGGGTGGTATACACTATCTACCATTCTTATTCTTTTACGTGCGAGGATTAGTGGTGTACAACCTTGTCTACTAGGCTTCGGCACACAAGCTTTCTTTCGGCTTTCCATCCACGTAAATTGTTCTGAACACCTACGTTAGGAGAGCCGCTGTCCTCTGGTGTTTCCTTGGCGTGCATACCACAGCAACAATGTGGAGTGCTTACAGTTTCGGTTGATCTATGTGTAGTTACCCGTGATATACTACCTTACTTACCGCGCCTCGGCCCATGAGGTTCCTTTTTGTTTCCCTTCCTCGCGCGGTTCAAGTTGGGTGCTCGTGGTGTTGGTTCGCATTTTGATTTCGGATATAGCTCATTCTGATATTTAGTTTGGGCTGCGTAGATATGGATACCATCTGTGATGTGTCATCCTTGTGCTCAAATTGTGATCTACCCGTTTCGGACTCCGACAAAGCTTTGAAGTGTAATATTTGTGCAACTTGGGAGCACATAGTGTGTTCCCACATTCACTCATCCATCTATGCTGCTCTCTTGTCCCATCCCGGTGATTACTTATCATTTACGTGTACTAGATGCAAATCTATCTCCACATCACCTTTAAGGAAGAAACAGAAATCGAAGAAATCCAAGCGATATGCACCAGAGCCATCTAGCGACCTGCAAGACAGTCTTGTTCGGAACGTTCCAGATGTCAACTCTGCGGAACCTTCAGTAAATCTTAATGCCCCCATGAGGTCATCCGATTGTACTGATGAACAGAATACGCAATCACCTTGGTTATCAAAGAAATGGAGACATCGTTTGAAAACCCGGCCGCCAGCTCGTGACCATGAGGTCGTTGAAATTCTACCTGTCAGCTCCGCAAGCGTGATCCAACCAACTGTTTCAGGAAACCGAGAAACACTCAAGTTTCCACGCGATCATTGTCTGATGCTGCTTGAATGGAAAGAATCTGGTGAAGAAGGTGCACAGGCTGGATACAACCATGATCTGAATCTGCTCCAGGGACTTGTTGGTAAACTAGCCGATGCTGATGAACCAGGAATTCGAATTCGACGAATTTTGCGATTAGGAAAATGAGTTGCGGGCATCCACCGACCGCTAAAAATTGTATTCGAAAATGCAGACGCTCCCAAGCACTCACTTTCTCGCGCATGGAGACTTAAAGTTATGGATATTTACATCAGACCAGATATAGATCCATCTCAGCGAGCTCAGCTCAGAGCCGCTGTCGTGGAACCTCGAAGGCGCACTCTTGAAGGTGAAAATGATCTACGTATCGTACCTTTTCGAATAGTCAAATGGCGTGCATTCATAAACCGCCCGGTCACTTTAACAGCTCGCAGCCAGAGTCATTCGCTGGCTTGCGTGTAGCTTTTATGAACGTACGCAGCCTTTTATCGAAACAAGATGATCTGCTGTAGTGGGTTTCTGATGTAAATCCTGACATTCTTGGTGTTGCAGAAACCTGGTTGGATTTGACTGTCCTCGATCAGGAGATAAAACTCCCTGGCTATGAGCATTTTCGTTGCGATCGTCAGTAGCGGCTTCATGGTGGGGTGCTCCTCTATGTGAAGTCGGACATACGTTGCCGGTTACAAAACACTTATTTGAGTAATGATTGTTACTGTGAACAAATTTGGTGCAAAATCATCACGGCCAAAGGCAATTTTCACGTGGGAGTGCTTTACGGAAGTCCAGCTAATATCTCTTCCGACTGGATTACACGAGCCAAGAATAATTTCCGCGCCCGAAACGTGCTACTTATGGGCGACTTCAATTTTTCCCATGTAAATTGGTCCAGCTATACGGCCCTTCCTGGTTGTACTGACTTGGAGACCACATTTCTCAATACGATGCTAGAAATGGGATTGATACTGCATGTACATCAACCGACGCGGTCTCTGCCTTATCAGATTCCTTCCTGCCTAGATTTACTATTTACTCAAGCCGAGCAAAGTTTGGATTATTTATCAGTTTCTGAACCACTGGGCACTAGTGATCATATGACATTTTTTGCATATCTTAGGCTTCCACACCATCGCACTCCACCGCGATTACCCCAGAGAAATGTTTGGAAAACAGACTTTGATGCGTTATTAATTGCGGCAAATTCGATGGATTGGACACTACCAACGGAAGGATCCGCTGATACATGTTGGCTTTCGCTTAAAGACAAAATATCATGGCTATGCGAACTATATACGCCTGTTCGACATTGCAAATCAAATCGATGTCGCCCACCCTGGTTCGATCGAGAGCTTGTAACGTTGACCAAACGCCGCCGAAAACTGTGGAACCGT